ATGGAAGTTGAATTATTGAAGTGGCTATCAAGCTACTAGCATGAGCTAACAAGCACAATTGTGTTATTGATCAAATGTTTTCAAACAAATTGACAGGAAAACTGCTAAAGCCAGACTTTTCTGTTGTGAGTATATAAAAAAGATGAATGTATATCATGTTGGCTTTGGTCAAACCTTCAAAGAGCCACAGGTTGCAGACCCCTGAGCTAGACCAAAATGTTGGTATTTAGAGCCTATCTAAAAGTACTTTCTTTCAATATTTCCCACTGACACTTTTGAAGACATTTTATTCTGATAGGATTTTAGCTAAGTTATGTTTTCTGCTTTTTTTAAATTTCTATTTATTATATTTCTTTTCTGTTTTTATTGGTTTTAGTTATTTTGCTCTCTGTGAATCACTTTGTGATGATTTTGTCTGTGAAAGGTGAAAAAGGAATAAAGTTTACTTACTTACCATAAAGTTGGATATGTTAATGTCTGATTTATAAACTGAGGCCTCATAGGTTTAAAAGTTTACCACCTTCTCTGTTTGGCCAAATACAGTAAAGGCCTGGGTTCTGGTTTTAAAATAGTAAAAACTTTCAGTCATACGTTTCTCTGATTCATCTACCTTGGTTTGCAGAAGAACTTATACTGGATGAGGATTGTAAAGGTGAACATCACAAATCCCTGGATGGACATAGCGCAGAGGTTTTTCCCCACCATTTCCCAGCTCAGTGGGTTCTTAAAACGGTCTTCCCCTGATACAGCGAACACAGAGGCAGAAAGAAATGGCGAAACAGATAGAAAAAAGAGTGAATAAAGCCAATACACTAAAAAGACAAATGAATGATTACATTAACATTATAAGACGTGTCAGYTTTCAGCTCTTACCAACACACTCTGGGAAAGTTTTTGGTCTGGAGTTGTCAAAACAAAACTGAAAATTGAAGTGTTTTCTTTCACGGACAGCTAAATTACAGTGTGTATCKTTGCTGAATTTTGTCACAGAGACATATTCGTCGGTGAAAGGCAGCAGTTTAAAAAGCCACTTAGCCTTAAGATAAAAAAAAAAACGTTAAAAACTGCTGTCACCTGCGTCGGTTGAGGAAATAGTTGACATTGTGTACTGAAGCCTTTTTGGCTGATGAGAGTCTAAGTAAAGCAAGTGACAGCCCTTCACACTAACTTTCTTCCTCCTACCAACCTCTACAGCCCAGGCGCTGGAGGAGGGYGGCGGGGCTGTGGGGGGTGAGAGGGGAGCTGAGAGGGGTGGAGTAAAGGAGACAAGAAAAACGAAAAGCGCTTTCAGTCTCATTCTCCGGTAAATAGCCCCTCTCCACACTAGCCCTTTTAAGTCGTGATTGCTTTTCTCTCTCCTCTCTCCGCCGCCTCCGCAAATTATTCCTCAAACCGCTATTTCCTGCTCCATCTCTCGACAGATAAGACCCCCCACCCCTACCTCTTTCATGCGCCTCTTTGCCTTCTTGATGGACCCCTTCCCTACAACCCCACAACTCCACCTCCACAACCGCCGTGGCACTATTCACCCCAACCCCGCCACATCTAGATTTAACTCGTGTGGACAGAAGAGCTTGAATAGAGGTTTGGGAGCCATGATACTGGTCAAACATTTCCCCCCTGGAGAACCAGCATTTGGACAGAAATAGTATGGTGTCACTTTAGGAGAAGGACTGGAGGTGATTTGAGTGTTTCTTTGGGAAGAGTGGTGTGATTTGTTGGGGATGTGTACACTTTCAGTGGCCATCAACAGTTCCCTCACAGCCCTTTTATTATGACTGGGTGCTTTTTGGCTTGCTGTGCACGTGCACAGATATGCTTTTGGGTCATATGATATAGTCTTGGAAATTGTGTGTTTTATTTCACAAATGTAACCAAAGTGGACGGTTATGAAAGACAGCAATTCACCTGTAATAGCTTAGTAAAAAACTGTAATGAATAACATCAGCCAGTCTCGTTGCTTGGACTTTGATCATGTTTAAAACTTTTGCTCGAACAAAGTCTTCCTCTCAATTTTCTCAAAGTTTTATTCAATTCTAGCACATCGGCACTGAAATTCACCCACAGATACAGTGTGTTAACACAGAAATAAAAAAATATACTTGTGTAAAGATTCAAAGCATCTATATTGTACAGTGACATGAACACAAATTATTTCTTCTCTGTTTAAGTTAGCTTTAGTTGGCTTTAAAATGCAGATTTGAATTGGTTATGACAACTAAAATTAGTATTAGAGACCTACTTTACTTTTTAATGTTTTATTTCCTGCTGCGAGAAATGTGACGTCTCTTACCAAAATTGATGAAGAGCGTTGCCATCGCCTGGTTCGTAGCCATGTCAATCAACCCTCTGCCCAAACAGAAATGCGGGAAAATCAGCAGCACCTGCTTCACTATGTTGTTGATGTTTTTGACATTCTGTTGAAAAAAAAATAGAAACATGACAAACTTTTTAAATATTAACACCCTGACTGAAAATCTTTCACTTTCAGTTTGGTGAACATCTATCTTGAATCAGCAGAACAAGATAAGCTAAATGTTCAGCAGCCAGTGCAGATAACTAATAAACATATTTGCACGCTGAGCACTGTTGAATTGCCAAACTGCAAATGTTAAGTTTGTTTATCTACAATCTTGAAGCTGGAATCTAACAGACGTAGGGGAGCAAACCGTGTGTTCTGTAAGAAAGCAGTGAATGCACAAACACAAATGAATGTGCTGAAGCTGGAGCAAACAGATGTTCATCCTTAAAATCATAAAATGAGGGTGGAGGCAGCTTCCTAACACCMAACAGAGAAGAACTCCTTTTGGTATTTGGATAATGTAATACAAAAGCAAGAAAAAACACAAAGCTGACATATTTCCTTGTTTAACAAAAAATGAACAATGAAGGTATATCAATRATAGAGGTAGAACTCAGTTCAAATAATAAGACTACTTGTTACTTAACACAATTAGTGTTATTGTTGATTGGAATAAAGCCAAATCTTTGTCTCACACAGTACCCAACCTTAACTACTCTCCTTATAGGTCGTGGACCGATATGATGGTCAAGGCTTGAACACCATGTGCTCGCAGGTGAGGTCCACTTCCCTAGGTCTGTCACCCCTGTTTCACTAATTAAGTTGGGTCATCGCATCGTGGAAAATGTAGGAATTCTCCTTTCATTCAGGCTGAGTATTTCCCTTAAGAGGAGGGCTTCAAGTACAGTTTGTGTGTTTTTGTTTGAGTGATGGTAAAATAGACCAAATGTTGGACCAATGAATTAGGCCTCATCCGTAGTATTCAGGGTATTACATCAAGTCTGTTGTGGTGAAGAGCTAAGYTGAAAGGAAAAGCTCTCGATTTACTGGTTTATCTATGTTCCAACCCACACCTGGGGTCRGGAGATGATGGATCATAAGCAAAAATCATAGAATCCTTGATATAAGCAGCCTAAAGAGATAGGTTAATGAGATTCATCAGTTTGTGAGAGCTCAGAGTAGATTCGCTGCACCTCCATATTGAAAGGACTCAGATGAACAGGGTTGGGTATCTAATTAGGATGCCYTAATCTGGATATTTTCATTGGTATGTCCCACTGGGATAAGAGTCGAGGCCAACATTCTTATGTATCCTCTTTGACTCAGAAGTGGCAGGGGAGCTTCACTGGAAAGGGGAAAGTGTGGGTTTCCCTTCTAGACCTTTTGGGTTCCCAACACAACTTTGGATAAGCAGAAGATGGTGGCTGGCTGGAAGTTGGATGAAAGAAAGCATCATTTTTAAAGATGGGCTCAAGACTGGTTTTCCTATTTTAATATTTATGGTGCTTCTGAAACTCGTGTGAATTTGTGAGTCAATTAGAAGAGTTTTGACACTGTTTAATATCCAAACACTATTAAACGATAATAGATTGTTGAACTTAATAATCTTTGACCACAATTTTTTGTGAGTATTTTTTTATTGCCTGGCACTATCCCCAAAAATGTGCCATCCTTTTTGTTTAAGCTYCTTCTTTTCTGGCAACAATCAAGAGAGAACCAGTTAAAAAGACAAAACAATAATGAATTCAATAAAGATGGAAAAGATGAGCTTGTAACRATCTAAGGCTAAGATATGGCAAGTTTGGTACTCCAGAGAGGCCACAGAGAGTGAGGCAAGTAACAGTGAAAACACAAAGAACAACATAATAAGACGTTTGGCATGGCTCAGTGTTCAAAACCAAATTCATGCATTATGCATACTGCTTCATTGCAGCACAGTCTCCAAAGCTCTTGCATACATAAAAGGGAGACTGTAAATTCATAGTTCCTGCTTTTGGGTGAGCCTGTGTAAAGATTAGTTTATTCTGTGTTGGAGGTGTACTTTTATGAAGCTATGCAAAAAGATTTCCAGATGATGGCCACTAACGTCCCAGAATTCATTCATGCCTGTGTGTTGCTGCGCAGTTAAATTGGTCATCATGACTGAGATTTCAATATGCAGTTACCATGACTGAGTGCATGAGGCCTCCATAAGGCTGTCAACCTTGAAACATRAACAGTACGAAGGTTAGATTTAGGGAGAGTTTGATCAGGTCAAATTTTCATGRTGTTTATTTTCTCTAATAAAGAACATATTAAACTTGTTTACTGTCTTGTAGAGTGAAAACAAGTTGCCCAACTTGGAATAACAGGCTGAATTTACCCTTTATCTTTGACTAGTTGTTTGAACAGTTAGAGTGGATTTCTGCATGGAGTTGAGGGTTTTGCCCAATGTTAGCATAACAAAATAGTTCATGTATTTGGAAATGGATTCTATTGGAAGGTGGGATACAATATTTTCTCTGTGGTAGATATTCCTTTGACCTCAGTTTGGAAAAAAATGTTTATTTGCAACCAAATCTGATTGCCGYATTGAATCATACGTGTTTGTGTCATACTGTATCGTCTTGATTTATCTTACCATATTCAACCATCTATCTAGATTTATAACTATTTAGCCAGCTAGCTACCCACATGTCAAAATTGATCTAGCCCAGTTCTGGCCCACACAATGCACTAGCACTCAGCCCAGATATTGCAAAGAATGATGGCCTTTTGGTGTCCTAGATGTGGTTTGTTTTATGTGGTCCATGCATTGGCCAAAACCACATAAACCAAACGACAACTRGGCCAGTTGTGGCACAKCTTCATAAAAGTGCCACTATTGCCAGACTTGGTCCATATCTGGTTGACAAACCACTTATCATGACAGCAGTACCAGTTTGACACCAGATCTAGCCCACACCTGTCTGCCATGAGGGTAGTTACTTAATACCTCCTATTTGTAACCTGCACAAAATAATCAACTCATTTTATTGTGGCGGGTCACTGACAGCACACTTTAAGTTCCGGGTCGTAGGTGAGCTCGGATCTCGATTGCTTTTGCTGCTGTCGCTGTGGCTAGCTGCTCGTCTTGGCGTCTTCTAAACGTATGGAAGAATACGGCTGGATCGAGGCTTATTAACCCAGCCGAAGGATTTAATTGGGTGTTTTCTATCTACCGCTCGACGGTCAGGTTTTTTTTTCCACCCCCTGTGTCAACCCAGGATGGCGAGCTACGGATCACCGCAGCTTTGCGGTAGGAATTAAATGAACCAAGCTACTTTCTCATTCTGGACCTATTTGCACTGGATCATGGACAAAAAAAAAAAAAACAGTCAGATAATTGATTGATGGACCATTAATCACCCTGAACTCACAAATGGACTCAAAATAGAAAAAACTCTTGGGTGTC